GCGGTTTGCTTGGGGTCTCTCGTGAGACTGCAGCTGAGGTGTCGGCCAGGGCTGCAGCTGTCTGCAGGCTCGGCGGGGCGGAGGAGCCACTTGCATGGTGGCTAGTTCCTCTCTGTGGGCTGTGGCCACAGAGCTGCTTGCGCCCTCGCGCCGGCGGCTCCCCCAGAGCGGCCGGGCTGGGCGATGCTGCAGCGCCTTCCTGCCTGCCGAAGCCCCGCGGGTGTCAGTTCTGCAATATCGCCCTACGCAGCGTGGGAGGGGCCTTACCTGGGTATGGGGCCAGGAGCCGTGGCTCTTTGGGCATCGCCCTGGAGGGGGCTCCACACTGGGCCAGGACTGCTTCGTGGAGGGCAGGTCTGCAGGGCAGGAGGCAGGAGCTGGCCTGCGCTGGGACTTGCCCTGTGCCTGCCCGCCCCATGCTGAAAGTTTCGTGGGAGTAAAGATGGATGCCACTGCCGGGGGTGGGGAGCGGTGACAGTGTGGCATAGTGGCTAGACATGCAGGCAGGGCCTTTGAAGCCTAAGTGACCCCTGATGGGTTCCAGCCAGGGCAGTTGTGACAATTAAGAGAAACGGTGTCTATACGGTACGGGGCCCGAAGTTAGTGCTCAATAAACGTCAGCTCCTGGGGAGGAAAGGGTCAGAGAGACTGAGGTTCAAGTCCTGCTTTGCCACTTTATCTTTTTGCAGGGCCTCAGCCATTAAACGGGGACGCTAATGATATCCGTCTTGCAGGGCTGGAGCGAGGATCAAAGGAGCGAGTCCACATAAGGTGCCCGCACTGGTGCTGGGCGCAGCACGATCGCGCTGGTAAAGTGTTACAATGCTAGTTTCCCCGCTCAGCGTCCCCTTGTCCCGCCACCCCAGCACCAAGGCCACGCACAGCCTTCCCCCATCCAGCCTCCGCCGTCTTCCTGCCCCTGGCAGGTCAGCCCCGTGCCCTGCCCCTTCCTTCTGTCCATCCCTTCCCCGAGTCTGCCCCCATCCCCGGGTCCCCAAGAGGGCCTTCACCTCCTTTCTAGCCCGGGGCACGCTGAGCCTCTCAGGCACCTCCTTGCCTTGCTCCTTGTGCCTGGCACGTGCTGGACTCAAGCCTGGCGGGTGGAGTCCACACAGGGCAGTTCCAGCGGGGTGCTGGCTGAGCCCGGGACGGAGGGCCGCGGGGCTGCTGGGCTGACTGGGAAGCAGGAGGGTGACCCAGCTGAGAGGAGGAGCAGTGGGCACAGGGAGGGGCGTGCTGCTCCAGGAAGGCCACCTGGAGGAAGCAAGCTGAAGGGTGAGTGATGTCGCCTGTCCATCTGCCCCTCTAGCATGCCCAGCCAGAGACGGTGGAAATCACGCCTTTGCACCCTTTAGTGCTCAATAGTTAAGTCAGATTTTATTTTTTTGAGACAGGGTCTTGCTCTGTCGTTTGGGTTGGAGGGCAGTTGTGGGGTCATCACAGCTCGCTGCAGCCTCCGACTCCCAGACTCAAGCGCTCTTCCTGTCTTAGCTTCCCGAGTAGCTGGGACTACAGGCACATGCCACCATGCTCAGCTATTTTTTTAAAAAAAAGTTTATAGAGATGGGTCTCACTATGTTGCCTAGGCTGTTCTCAAACTCCTGGCCTCAAGTGATCATCCCTTCTCGACCTCCCAAAGTGCTGAGATTACAGATGTGAACCATCACTCCTGGCCTACATTTTGAATTTAATTCAAAAATTAAATTTTTGGCCTGGTGGCTCACGCCTGTAATCCTAGCACTTTGGGAGGCCGAGGCCGGCGGATTGCTCAAGGTCAGGAGTTCGAAACCAGCCTGAGAGAGACCCCGTCTCTACCAAAAATAGAAATAAATTAATTGATCAACTAAAAATATATATACAAAAAATTAGCCGGGCATGGTGGTGCATGCCTGTAGTCCCAGCTACTCGGGAGGCTGAGGTAGTAGGATCGCTGAGCCCCGGAGATTGAGGTTGCTGTGAGCTAGGCTGACGCCACGGCACTCACTCTAGCCTGGGCAACAAAGTGAGACTCTGTCTAAAAAAAAAAAAAAAATTAAACTTTTGAAGAAAAAGGAGAGTAATTTAAGAATTTGAGGAGTGATAAAATACCTCCCTCTCCCCCAATACCGACCCCCCCACCAGCTGGCCTGAAATCCCCGTTAGAATCACGTTCAGCTCACAAAAGCCGGCACCTGCAGAATCTCCTGTTCCAAGCTGCATCAGCGGGCTCCGTGGGAGGGTAGCAAAGGGCCCATGAGTCCTGATTAGCTGATCTGACAAACCATCTGTCACCCACAGCCCTAAGCCACACTGAAACTGCGTGTGTCACTCTTCCTCAGGGTCCTCCCCCAGAATCTCAAATCACCCGCCCCGCCCCCCGTGGTTCAGACTCCCCTCCCCACCCCCAAAGTCTGCTCCCCTCCAGAGCCTTGACTCTGTTGACTCTGCAGCTTCCTGCTGCAGCTGCAGAGCGAGGGCAGGGCGCTGTCCTAGCGCCCTGCCTGGGCTTCCGCGGTGAGGAACGTGGGGACGCCAGCCGGAGTCAGCTCCCCTTCAGAGCACTGCGAGGGAACTTCTCTCCCCATCTGCTACCCCAGGAGACGTGCAGGGCCCTCCCCTGAGCCTTTGCCCCTGGAATGTAGGTGCAGCTGTGCTGGGTAGAGTAGGTGGGGTCACTGCTGTAGAGCTCAGAGCTGGAAGGGACCCCAAGGAGCACTTGGTCCAGTCCCCTACTGTTAGCCAGGCAAGCGACTATGGTTTTGGATGAACCACTTCATCCCATACGCCCTGAGCGTGCCCGCTCTGTCTCATGGGGAAGCGCCCCAGGCTTCTCACCTGGGGCTTTTGCACTGTCCCATAGCCTTCCAGGAGGGAGGGAGGCTTGCTGTACTGGTCAGCGACGCAGGCTGCGTATACCTGAACCCTGGCTCAAATGCCATCAACTAGGAGGAAATGCATGCTCTCTTGTAACAAGGTGGCCAGAGTGAGGCAGTTTCAGTGCTGGGTAATTGAGCGGCTCAACAGCTTCATCATGGACCAAGGTTGTTTTCAATCTTCACCTCTGCCACTGCTAGAGTGTTGGCCGTGTTTTTTCTCATGGTCACAAGGTGGCTGCCTGTCACCAAGCATTTTGTCTAGATATGACAACATACAGTGAAAGAAGAAGAGATGCTTTCCCAGAAGCTGCCAACAGTTTGTCATGTTTTAGTGGCCATAGTTACAACATTATTCATTCATAATCCAATATTAGTGCAATGTTGGGAGGCAATTAATTCTCCATGTTCTCATGTTTCTACATAGCATGTGGCCAGAGGCACTCATTACTGTTTTTCCTTGTATTTTTAAGTTGATATATAATAGTTGTATATATTCTGATTGCCTTTTGTTCTGTCTTTTCAAGGAGGTTTATGTGCCAAACAGCTTTGGAAGATAGTGTGTTCCTCCAGATCAAAGGGCAAGTTTGCTCAGGTCCCATTATAAAAGATTCAGGTTCCCAAAGCTCAGGGTTCCTCTCCTGTAACAAAGCACTGCAGTCACATGACCACACCTCACTGCAAAGGAGGCTGGGAAATGTAGTCTTTAGCTAGACAGTCACGTGCTCCGGGGGCCGTGGCTTACATCTGTAATCCTAGCACTCTGGGAGGCCGAGGTGGGGAGAGGATTGCTTGAGCTCAGGAGTTCAAAACCAGCCTGAGCAAGAATGAGACCCCGTCTCTACTATAAATAGAAAGAAATTAATCGGCCAACTAATATATATAGAAAAAATCAGCCAGGCATGGTGGCGCATGCTTGTAGTCCCAGCTTCTTGGGAGGCTGAGGCAGGAGGATCGCTTGAGCCCAGGAGTTTGAGGTTGCTGTGAGCTAGGCTGATGCCACGGCACTCACTCTAGCCTGGGCAACAAAGCGAAACTCTGTCTCAAAAATAAATAAATAAATAAAACTTCCATTTCTTGGGAAGAAAGGTGAATGGATATTGGGTCAATTGGTAGTCTCTGTCACAGTCACTCCAATAAAACTGGGGTTCTAATAGGGAGTCAGGAGGCGTGGTGTGGAGAGGCAATAACAGTGTCTGCCATGGTAGTTGGTGCTGTGTCCCATTTTATAGGTGAGGAGCTGAGTTCCAGAGAGGGCAGTCCTGGAGTCAGGTCTACAAGCCAGGTCGCCGACTGCTGACTCCAGGGTTTCCCCATCCTTTCCCTGCCTCTGCGGCAGGCAGGGCCAGGTTAGGCTGTGTGCAGGAAAAGCCTTCCACTGGCCTCAACATGGGGGCCACCTCCTCTCCCTAATCAAAAAACTCAGTTCCCTTGGGTTCCAGGAGTCCCCTCCTGCTGTTCTTGCGGTCTTCGGCCTCTTTCTCAGGCTCCGTCTCCACTTTCTTCTTTCCGGCCTTTCTCTGCCAGAAGTCCCCAGGCTCGGCCTTCTCACTTGCACCTGTGTTCACTGGTCCCTGGCGTTAAATATCATGTCCTCGCCATGACCCGCAGGCTCCTCCTATCTGTCTGTCAGGCCTCTCTTTGTGCTCTGGACTTGTGTATTCCACTGCCCACCTGACCCCCTCTTACAGGCACCTCGATGTCAAAAGTTTACAATGAACTCGTGTCATCACAGACAAACTTGCTTCTTTTCCACTCTTGCCAAACTCAGGAACTGCTTCCACCCTCCAGCGAGCAGTCCCGGCATCTTTGATACTGTCCTCTATCTCTCCTTCCACATCTGATTCCCCAGTCCCGGCATCTTTGATACTGTCCTCTATCTCTCCTTCCACATCTGATTCCCCCGTACTAGATTATTGCTGTAGCCTCCTGACCCGCTCCCCTGAGGCCGCCCTGGTTGCCCATCCATTCCTTATTCTCTTCTTAACATGCAAGGATGATCATACTCTTCTTCTCCTTTGTCCTCCTCCTTCTTTTAAAATTAGAGATGGCCCAGGCTGGAGTGTAGTGGCTATTCACATGCACAACCATAGCTCATTGTAGCCTCAAACTCCTGGCCTCAGACGATCCTCCTGACTCACTCAGCCTCCCAAGTAGCTGGGACTACAGGAGCAAGCTACCATGCCGGGCTATTCTTGGTCTTAAAATCTTCAGTGGTTCACCATTGCTTTTAGGATAAAAACCAACATTCTTTTCATGATGTGGCAGAACGGTTGCCCCTTCCCCATTATTCATCCTTTTTTTCTTTAGAAAGTGAACTTCCTATTTATAGTTGGGCACAACCATTTAAAGAGCCCACTTTCCAACTTCCCTTGTAGCTAGTTGGGGCCACATGACTAAATCCTGGCCAAATGGATACAGGCAGCATGTTCTGGTCTCATGTGAGGATGGCGTGGGTCTTTTGCCCCTTCCTCTTTCTTGCTTACAAGAATGCAGACACGATGGCTGACACTCTAGCAGCCACCTTGGGCGATGTGGAGGAAGCCAGTGCTGAGCCTGAATCCTAAGACAGAAGGAGCCTGGTCCCTGACTCTGGGACACACGCTAGCCCTGGACTGCCTACCTACCTTGGGGCTTTGGTTATTGGAAACTGTTACGGGATCTAACTTAAGTCACTATTTTGCATTTTCTCACACCTCAACCAAGTGCTGCCTGAATCATATGGCCCCTGCTGTGGCTACAGCGTGGTGGCGCTTCCTCTACACACCAAGCTTCTCCTTGACTCGGGCCTTCACTCCTCCCCCTGCCGGGAGCACCCTCCACCCTCTTTTTCCAGCTGTCCGCGGCTCACCCTCGGCATGTCGCTCTCTCTGGGACGCCTTCCTCACTGCAGTGCCACACCTGTAGTGTTCCACACCAGAGCAGGTAAAACACCTCTCCTCTATACAACATTACTTCCAGTGATAATTGTGACATGAATAATAATGTCAGCCAACAAAAATACAGTTAGATTTTTCTTTTACTGAATTTCATATAATCATCCTAGTAAAAACTAATACAAATATGATAGAACAAAAAAAGTAGTGGGTTATTGCTTTTTAATTAAATTAATTCATTTTTTGACAAGAGGGAAAATATATACCTACATCTGTTGCAGTAATGAATAACATTACACTTTGTTTTCCAGACTTCTGCAAATTTGTCAAGACTTTGTCAAAATTGATCTTCTCATATTCATGTTCTAAAAATAGTGTAGGCAGTTTTGTCAATCTATCTTCAATCATAATTGACCAAAAATTTTTAAAATTTTTATTTGGCACTATTTCTTTTCACATGAAGCAATAGATACACAAATAATTAAGGAAAGCCTTAAACAGAAGGATAAGTTTGGCAGAAATTCAGAAAAAATTCATTTCATAACAAATTCTAGAAATTACAGATTACAGTAATGTCAATATCTGTGTTTTTCTTTAGGATTAATTGTAATGGCTTTCAAATATCTTCCCCCCTCAAAATTTTTAAACAAATAAAAACTCCAGGTGGTCACATAAAATTATGCTATCAACATTTATTTCAAACTCAATGTTTAACCACGGGACAATATAGTACAACAGGGATTCCAGACAACTTTGCAGTGAGTGTAAACAATTCTGAATCCGCCAAACATGGGAAGCTGTCTCCCAGCGTTGGGGAGTGGCTAAATAACTGGGAATTCTCCCAATTAATTTCAAGTAGCATGCAATGTTTGTTAAAGCATAAGTAATAAAAATGTGTTAATTTGAGACTTCCATATGTATTAGTAAAAGTCAATAGCAACTAAAGCAATTGTTGAGGTCTTAAACCACCAAAAGAATTTGGGGGAAGGACGCTGTTTAGAATTGTGCTTAGTGATAATGAAGAGCAGACTGGTTTTTAGTTGGTTCTTATTGTTTTAAAAGCTGTTACTGAGACGCCCCCGCTTACTGCCTGCGTCAGGGAGGACGCCCTGCCACCCCACCCTGGGATGCCCGATGGGCTCACCTTAACGTGCACTCAGAGGGTGTTTGAAGTCCATTCTCCCGCAGCTGGGCAGTCACCGTTGTTCAGGGCTGTGCCCAGCTCCCGGCAGGGAACCTGGCACCCAGAAGGCTCTCAATACACATTTGGTGAATGGATGTGGGTGAAGAACCAGCCTCCATAAAGGTAGCGACAATTACTATAATCTGCAGCACATGTAAAATCTGCAGTGTAAGAAACATGCCACCACATTCAAGGTCAGCAAAGCGCCACCTCTTCTTGCAGCCTTCGAGGTTCCCTTCAGTCACACCACGTCTGGCTCTCCTGGATCTCTGGGAAAGAGTGGGAATCTTATCTTGCTCAGCAGTCCCTCCTGGAGGGCAGCAGTCATATCTCATTGTCTCTCGGGTCCCTTGAACTGCAGCAGAGAGGACCTGGCACAAACTAGGAGTCAATCCACACTCCTGCATTGGTAACAATTTATTGGCCCGGTGTGGTGGCTCACACCTGTAATCCTAGCACTCTGGGAGGCCGAGGCGGGCGGATTGCTCGAGGTCAGGAGTTCAAAACCAGCCTGAGCAAGAGTGAGACCCCATCTCCACTATAAATAGAAAGAAAACTAATTGGCCAACTAATATATATAGAAAAAATCAGCTGGGCATAGTGGCACATGCCTGTAGTCCCAGCTACTTGGGAGGCTGAGGCAGCAGGATTGCTTGAGCCCAGGAGTTTGAGGTTGCTGTGAGCTAGGCTGACGCCACGGCACTCACTCTAGCCTGGGCAACAAAGCGAGACGCTGTCTCAAAAATAATAATAATAATAATTTATTGAGCACCCGCTACACACAGGTATTTTATTTCATGTATCTACTTTCTAATAGTTAGAACTCACCAGGCTGGGCATGAGTGCAGTTGAATGACTTGCCCAAGATCACACAGCTGGCACCTGCAGAACAAGCTTCAGCGCAGGTCTCCGGGCTCCAAAGCCCCTGTTCTTCCTGTGACTTCACGCTGCTTCCCAGGAAAGGGGTGTGAGGGTGGGAGAGGGCTCCAGTTCTGGGATGGGACTGAGGGGGCCTGTGCTTGGGACCCGGCATGCTCAGGCTGCAGGAGCCTGGGTGACTCCCGGGCACGCGCAGTGGTCACCACCTCTGGCCTTCCATGGGGTTGAGGGCCCAGGCACAGATGCGCAGCCTGGCAGGGCACCCGTCCCTCCAGGCTTTGGTTTCTCAGTCCACACAATGGGGAGCAGCAGGAGCACCCCTGCAAAGGTTAGCGATACTGTATTGTGTTGCAGCGGTCCCCAGCCTTTTTCACACCAGGGATTGTTTTCATGGAAGACAATTTTTCCACTGGCAAGGAAGAGGGGAATGGTTTCGGGATGATTCAAGTGCATTACATTTATTGTGCACTTTGTTTCTATTATTACACTGTAATATATTAATATAATGAAATAATTATACAACTCACCATAGGTTGGGGACCTCTGGAGTAAGGCACTGGCCCCAGCAGGGTACAGCGGGAGCTCTGCCAGTGGCAGAGGTTCTGCAACTTCGCTTCCACCTTCTGTTCTCTCCCCGCCTCTCACAAGTCAGGAGGAGCAAGGTGCGCCCCGGGGCCTGCAGGGAGGGTGTGCCCACACCTGGTGGGCTCCTTCCACGAGCTGTCCGTGCGGCCGCACGGGCGCGCCCACCGGCCGGCTCCGCTGTGACCCGGGCCCGGGCGGGTGTGGGAGCGAGGGGCCCCGCGGCGGCCTGCGGCCTGGAGGCCTGGGAGCCCGGGGCCGTTTGGAGAGAGGAGGAGGGACGCGGCTGGGCGGGACGCGCGGGTTCGGCGGCCTCCGCGCGGGTTCCCGGCGCCACCTCGTGGCGGTGGCCGGCGTCGCCGGACCCCCAGCCTGTCTTTCGAGGGAGAGCGGGGCTCCAGGGCCGTCTGCGGCCTGCAGGGAGCTGTACAGGCAGGGAAGGAGGCACCGAGGGCGTCCGCTCCCGGGGAGGAGGGATGGGGTGAGGACCCTCCAGAAGCTGGGGAGCGGGTCCGCACTCGGCTCCGTTTGCAGCCCTGCAGTCGCGCAGCCTTCCCGTCTCCCGTCGGGGCGGCGCGCCTCGCCGGCGTGGGGAGAGGCTGGAGGCCTCGTCCACTCTCCTGACCATTGGAGACAGGTGGCAAAAGCCGGGGCTGCGGCGCCAACTCCTGCCGGGACCAGGAACCCAGAGCGTGACTTGGCCTCAGACAGGTTTCCCAGCCAGCCCCTCTCTGGCGGGCTTGCGTCTCCCTGGCAGCTTAGGTGCCAGCAGCACCTGTCTGTCTGTTGCCCTGGGCACCTCCAGGCCAGCACCAGGTTAAGGTAGCCAGGGTGGCCGGGCAGAAGTGTGGGGACGCTGGGTCCCACAGGTTCCCCAGGACCCCCCACACCTCCCAGCAGTGCTGGGCTGCTCTGGTCCCCGCTGGAGAGAGGGGCAGTCGGACGACCCTCAGGAGAAGGTGTGGGCATCTGCTGGTCTGCAGGTTCAAGTCCCAACCGTGGGCCTGCCCAGAAGGCCCCGTGGTCCCGGGCTGAGCCTGCGGCCACCCCCCCACCCCCACCCCACCCCACCCTCACGCTGGCTTGGCCTGCAGCTTCTGCTCCAAAGCTGTCTTCCTCTGCACACCCCCGGCCGCTGTCCCTTTGTCCCCTGGCACATGCTCTCCTGCTCTCCTCCCCACTCCTAATTTTCTTCTTCAACCAAGAGAAAAATGGAAAAACTTTTTCCAGGAAGGATTTGCTCGTAAATCGATGAAAAGGTGGTCCATATAAAAACTGGGCAGCAGCACAGGCCAGGTGGTGATGAGGAGGGCGTGCTGTCTCCGGGGAAGGTCTTGGGGTCAGAGCCTCTGGTCACAGCCAGCCTGCAGCTGCCCCAGAGGGGCCAGAGCCCCTGCTGGAGAAGTTGGTGTGTAAGGTCCAGAATGAGCCCTGAAAACGGGGGCTCCCTGCAGGTCTTCCGTGGGGCCAGGTCTGGGGCCAGCAGGAACCTGTGTGAAGCGGCTCTGGGCTGTCCTGTCTCAGGCCCTGCGACCACCTCTGGCCGGAGGGGCCGGCGCCTCTGGGGACCTGGGTGGTGCCAGCAAGACCTATTGTCAGGCAGGGGTGCGAATCTTTGGGAGGCGGGCGGGGGCGGGAGAGGTCAGAGAAGCTGGGATTCCAGGCAGGCAGAGAACAGTGACCTCTCCTGCCGTTGCCCTGCCCGCCTGCGCCAGTCGCTAGGGGTCACAGCACTCTTTCTGTTTGGTTCGCCTTTTATTATAAATTATGAAAGATTTGATGCATGCAGAAAAGTACAGAAAATGATATAAAACACCTATATATCCTCTAACAAGGTTATTTTGTTTTTAATATTTTGGCCTTCCCATCACCGAGATAAAGGCCAAAAAAATTTTATTTTTTGACTTATCTGCTATTTTTTTTTTTTTTTAGACAGAGTATCACTCTGCTGCCCGGGTTAGAGTGCCGTGGAGTCAGCCTAGCTCACAGCAACCTCAATCTCCTGGGCTCAAGCGATCCTGCTGCCTCAGCCTCCCAAGTAGCTGGAACTATACAGGCATGCGCCACCATGCCCAGTTAATTTTTCGTATGTGTTTTTAGTTGGCCAATTAATTTCTTTTCTATTTTTAGTAGAGTTGGGGTCTCGCTCTTGCTCAGGCTGGTTTTGAACTCCTGACCTTGAGTGATCCTCCTGCCTCAGCCTCCCTGAGTGCTAGGATTACAGGCATGAGCCACTGCGCCCAGCCAATCTCTGTATCTTTTATTTTATGATACTGCAGTTTATCTACTTTCCTGCTGGGAATAGGTTACTTGTAATATTTCATGATTGTGATCAATGCCTCAGAGAACCTCCTTGAACGCATCTCCTTGGAAGAAAAACACAAGGGTTTCTCTACAGTGCCGACTGGAAATGGTGATTGTGGGTCATAATGCTTGTGCGTCTTCAACTTGACTAAGATCTGTCAAATCGTCCTCCAAAGGCGTGCGCCGGTTCACGCTCCCACGGACAGTCTGTGCAACTCCCATTTCTTCGCTTGCTCTTGTTGGGCATGCTAATTTCTGCCAATCTGTTGGGCGTAAAATGGTATTTCATTCTTGTTTTAATTTATTTGCCTTTCTCTAATTACTAGTGAGACTAAACAGCTTCTTGTGTATATTGGACACAAGTGGCTTCTCTTTTTTGAAAGATCCTTTGCCTGTTTTCCTTTTGGGTGGTTTATATTTTCTTGCTGACGGACAGTCCTGGGTATCTCCTGCCAGTTACATGGCTTGCAGACGTTGTCACAGCCGCCTTCCCGTGTAAGCCTGGACAGGGTCTGAGGTGCAGTGCTGCAGTGGTGGGAGGGGGCACGAGAAGGGACTGGGGCCCAGGGACAGTGTGGAGGCCCAGTCACTAGACTGGAGTCCGTGAGGAGCCCATCACAGGCACAAGCTGGTTGGTGATGAGGTCAGAGCAGGTCTAAGCGGGTCAGGTTACCTGGGAGCAAACCAGCCCTCTATATATCTTTCTGAGAGACCTTTGAGAGCCCATGGGGGTTTTGGCCCCCCAGAATTTCTGTGATTGATCAAAGCGTGGGCCATGCGCACCTTCAGTAAGGGACGCTGTGGGAAAGTGTCGCGGCAGCCGTGCTGCTGAGTTTGTGGAAGGGATAGCATTCAGGATGCTTCTACTACGTCACCTGGTATTCTCTCGAAGGGGCCCAGAGAAGACACCTCTCTCCCCAGTAGTACTTGAATGGCCAGATTTCTCCCGAATGACTGTCTTGTGTTTATGTTTGGACCCTGTGACAACATAACTTCCCTTTCTGTTCTGGCTGCCGGGAAACTCAGAGCCCGATCCAGGGAGGCCTGGAAAAACAGGGTGCATGGTTAAGGCCATGTTTTGGGTGCTAAACTTTGTTGTTTTTTGAGACAGAGTCTCACTCTGTTGTTCAGACTAGAGTGCTGTGGCGTCAGCCTAGCTCACAACAACCTCACACTCCTGGGCTCAAGCGATCCTCCTGCCTCAGCCTCCTGAGTAGCTGGGACTACAGATGTGCATCACCACGCCCAGATAATTTTTCTAGTTTTTGTAGAGATGAGGTCTCACTATGTTGCTTGGACTGGTCTCAATCTCCTGGCCTCAAGCGATCCTCCTGCCTCAGCTTTCCAAAGTGCTGGGATTACAGGGATGAGCTGCTGCACCCGTTTTCTTTATCCATTCATCTGCCTGGTGGACACTTAGCCACCTCGCCCGGCCAGTGGGTGCTAAACTTATTCCTGGTTTCGCTTCGTCTTTTCTGCCTTATTTTTATTTTACCCCAGTTTTGCCTCTTGATTTAAAAAAAAAACTTGTTCTGTATGTATTTTGGGGGAGGTTACTTAAAATTCTTTTGGGGTGAGATGGGGTAAAGATGAATAATATCCCTTTCACTCTGCCGGAACTCTTTTGGGGTAGAAGGTGGCCAGGGACTTGGAATGGGGCTGGAGCCAAGGGTGGGCGGGGGTGGGCCGAGGGCCTTAAAGGACACGGAGACAGACCACTCTGCAGCAATGGCACCTGTCTCTAAAACACTTGGGCCTGAGATGTGTCATGTTTCTTTATTTTTCAAAATAGGCTTAAGGTTGGCTTGGAGCTTCCACCTGGCTGGCCGGCAGGACAGACAGCCATTAGCATGTCTGTTCCCCATTGCGTCAGCTCTTGAGAGGATCTGGGTTCCCTGGTCCCAGGGACACAGGGGAGGGCCCTGTCCTTTCCTTGTCCATGGCTGCGTGGGGCTGGTTTGGGCTGTCCGTCAGCACTGCTCCTCTGAGGGCCCTCCTGGGCCTGCCTGGCTGCGGAGCCTGCGCCCGCTGCTCTCCTGTCCTGCGCGTGGTCTCTGTGGCACACGTTCCTTTGTTCTGGGCTGTCTTTTCAAGGATGTTTGTCTATCTGACAGTCTTGGAAGGCAGAGACAGAGTCTCGCTCCTGAGCAGAGGTTTGTTTAAGGATGTCTGCTTCCAGAGCAAAGGCCACATAGACTTGCTTGTCACTTCCTAGAAAAGACCATGTTCCTGCAGCTTGGGGCTCCTCGGCTGCGGTGCAAACCCGCTGTGCACTCAGGGTCCACTTGGGCGGCTTCGCCTCACTCCGAGCGACTTGTGGCGCAGGAGGAGCCACCAGAAACGCGAAACCCTACGTGCCAGCTGCACCTTCAGTAATAAAGTCCTTTGCCTCTGACGCAAGAGTCTTGTATGTTCTGCCGTCACCCATGAGCTCTCAGGGGGCCAACCCGCTAGCTCGCAGGTGGGGCAAAACCCCAGACGTCAAGTCTGACGGCTCCTCATCCAAACTCTCCGTAATGGCCCTTTGAAATGTCTTGCAGCTGCTCCAGAAGAGAGAGATGAGCAGCAGGTTCTAATTGTCACGTTTCCCGTTGTTGTGACTTTCTCTTGTGTTTTCCCTTGGTCAGCCTCACCAGAGCTTCGCCAGTTTCACCAGAACTTTTTTTTTTTTTTGAGACAGAGTCTCGCTTTGTTGCCAGCTAGAGTGAGTGCCGTGGCGTCAGCCTAGCTCACAAGCAACCTCAAACTCCTGGGCTACAGTGATCCTCCTGTCTCAGCCTCCCAAGTAGCTGGGACTACAGGCATATACACCATGCCGGCTAATTTTTTCTATATATATTAGTTGGCAATTAACTTTTCTATTTATAGTAGAGACAGGGTCTCGCTCTTACGCTGGTAATGAACTCTGACCTTGA